TGAGCTTCTTGATCGTGAAATGTTTTTTTGGTAATGTTTCTTCTTTCCTTTAACCCTTACTATCTTTCATATTCTAGTTTCTTAAGAGACTACTACTTTCTTGGTTTTTGTGTTATTTATGATGTTTTCTACTTTAGTTTTTTAGTAATGAAATGTGTAGTTTGATTTCAAGTTTATCCCATTCCCATAGACTTGTTTTCTTCTATTCCATTGTTATGTCTTGAAGAAAGTTGTAACTTTTAAGCTTTTTGTTTGTTTGTTTGTGAAATGCATACTCATTGGTATGGGGATTTCTTGCGGATATATCGAAAACAGTCTCTGTCAAAGTTAGGGTCATGTGTGGGTATATATATCCTACCCTTTTCCCGACCCCACATGTGGGATTACACAGGATACAATAACATAATATCTAGTGTAAAGTGGTCTAGGGAGGTTAGGTGTACTTAGTAGAGACGTTGTTTCCAATAGACTGTTTGTTCCACGAAAAAACAAATCAAAATAGTTTGAAAAAGGAAATAGCATAAATGATTGTTGTTTAGTGAATATTGTTAATGATTTTTTTTTGGAATAGAACTATTAAGAGTGGTGGTAAAAATGTACCAGTTGAATGGAATAGTTTTATATCAATGCTTAGCTCTACAAGGGAAGAAAGGAATAATCATAAAGGTTAAAAAAAGGAAGATTTGTTTATTGATACAATAAAATAGTCTCTTTGTTTCTGACTTGGAGATTCAATTGCTAAATTTTTCCCAAATAGTAGTTAAATGAGATAAACAAAAGACAATTAGTTTAACAGAAAAGTTAATCCTAATCTGAAAAAGAGTTATTTTGATGGTTTAAGTATATGAGATAAAGATTTAGTTTACTATTAATTATTACTACCCAAACAGAGTCCTCTGTCATAGCTCTCTAAGCAAAAGAGGAATTCCTTTTACTGAACTAAAGAAAACATTCATTTTTTCTTTTGATGTCTCAAGTAGTTCTTTATACTTTAGCTCAAACGATATAGTTGTTGCTAGCTTGATAATCTAGTAACACCAAGAGAGAGGGGTTGCTAGGAGCTATGTTGCTCGGACTATTCAAAGATATTGTCCGAGTGTGTGTCATGTCCTCTAAAAGTAGTACATTTAATAGAGGATCTGACAATAATTTTTGGAGAGTCCGGCACCATAGGTTAGGTATCCTAAAATGTAGAAAAGGTTGTTTTTTTATTTCTAAGTGATAGTAGAGTTTTCTTGATAGTGCGTACAAAACTCTTCATAGCAAGTCTGATATGGTAACTTTAATATTAAAGTTTTAACATGTCTGTGTATATAACTTAAATCTTTGATGTCATCGTTTAGATTAGTTTGTGTTGTAGGCAACAATTATCTATACTTGGAATTGTGTTTCTTATTCATTAAAGTTGTTCCATGTTCTTTAACAACATATATAGTGGTAAAAGTAGAGGGCATGGTGCAAGAGAAGGAGGATGCAACTATTCCAATTACAACTCTATCACCTCCTGAAGGCAACACAACATTCCTTGGTGGCACAACATGGTGTGTGGCACGGGCCGGGGCTCGACAGTTTGATTTGCAGAATGCGTTGGACTGGGCTTGTGGATTGGGGATGGCGGATTGCAGGCCCATCCAAGCCGGTGGCCCGTGTTTCGAGCCCAATACACTTCTATCCCATGCTTCATTTGCTTTCAATACCTACTATCAACAAAATGGAAATTCAGATATTGCTTGCAATTTTGGAGGAACTGCTATCTTGACTAAAACCAATCCAAGTAAGCATCTGTTTAGCCTTTTCCTTCATTTGGCATGACTTCAGTTTCTAAAGAACTTACGTCCCTCTAGGCACAACATAAAGGACAAAAATTAAAGACCAATTACAATTTTATGAAAAAGAAACATAATACCTTAACATTTCTATTGTTTTATGTTGTAGGTCATGAGAAATGTATTTATGTTACATCCAGTCCCAGGTAACGCCGACTATTATACATAAATCCTTCGAAAATATCACCCGACATGTCGTATCTTTCATTTTTTTAAAGTATTCTGACATAGGTATAACAATATTTTTGAAGAATTCGAGCAACGTAACATACGAAATACCTAAGCATTCCTATTAACTTGTCTACACTTTTTATTTTGGTTATAAGGGTTGAGAACATGAAGTCTGAAGCACCTCCATTTACCAAAGAAAGGCTAAGCATTGTGTGGTGGAAAATAGCTATAATTCTTCTTCTATTGTACTCAGGAAGTTGAGACGTAATTTTGCTATATGTAAAATTAAATTAAAAAAAACAACTTTTTTGTTTGGGAGAAAATAGAGGGGGGCATAATCAAGAAGAGATGCTATGATTAATTAATTAATTAATTAATTAAGATATGTATAGCTCTTTGGGATATTCTTAGAGTGGTTTAATTTCTTAAGCATATTCCTTACTCTCTTGTTGTATTAAGCATCTCAACTATTGAGAAGAAATCTTTGTGTTCTTTTTGTAATAAAGAAATTTTAATGCTGATTAGTTTATACAACTGTTGATTACTTTAGTGACTAGTAAGAATTTGAGTGAATTTTTTGGCCTAGTCAATGTTTAGGTGTGTTTCGCTAATTGTTGAGTGATAGTTTAGATAGAAAATTCACACTCGTAAATAGTTCAAATATGAAATTAAATAAAATAGATTAGTCTTAATGTGTTTTTGATTATTAACACAATTTTGGACTTCTATTTTATGTTTACATTGTGTTTGGTACGAAGGAACAGGGGATAATTAATCTCCATAGAAAAATTGGATGAAAATATTGAAAGCTCAAGAATCCATTTTTTTGGTTTTGGGGTCCAATACATAATCTAATTTTACCCCTTTATTTCATATCTCATATGGTGAAGCTATCTTGTTAATATTATTTTTACCCCTTTATTTCATATCTCATATGGGGAAGCTTTCTTGTTAATATTATTTAGGGATAATATTATTTAGGGAACATGCAAGTACATTCTTAGACTATGACCAAAATCTCAAAAATACATCTTAACTAAATTAAGGTCCTATTATTTCTTGAATTTTTTTTTTTTGTAATTTTATACATCTTTTGTCTTACGTGGCACATTTCGTGACTCCACGCAAATGAGGCGCGTGAGAGATATTTGGTTGCCACGTAAATAAAAAAGGTGCACAGAATTACAAAAAAAAGAGTTCAGGGGGTAATAGAACCTTAGAATAGTTAAGGTGTTGTCTCTGAGATTTCGGTCATAGTCTAAAGGAATACTTGTGCATTTTTCCTATAATTTACTATAATAGATAAATATTATGAGAGATGAAAGTGAGTAGAAGTGCGGGATAGTGGGGATGAGAGTTGGGGTTGTACAAGATCGAATTGAAAAAAAGTCATTAGTTTATCATTAATAGGTTATTAGTTAGCGATTCCGATAGCAATATTGAGTTATTTATATGAGCAAGATGAAGTATATCAATTCAAGTGCATAATTTACTTAGTTATTTTTAATAATTTTTTTTGTATAAAATCTCAACGATTAAATTAATAACTGAATTATAACGATTAATAATTGATAAATCGATATTTTAATGATTCTATTTAGTATTCCATACATTCAAAAAAATGAATATACAACCCTAACAAAAGCTACTAAGCTGGAAATGACTATTAACTAATGTGAAATATTAGTATTTGTTACTCTTGTTCTTCCTAATTTTAACTTGAAAAGATATTTTTGTTATTCATGAACATTTTTTTAAAAATATATTTTCTTCATGAAAAAATAAAAAAAATATATCTTGGAATACACCTTTTGTCTAAACAATTTTTTTCTTGGGCAGAGGTCATGGAAGTGACAGGACATAAGAGGCCAAGCATTTGCTTTTATGCACGCCTTCTTATTGTCATTTTCCTTTTGTTTCTTTTGCCTCTTTTTGTACAAAATTTTCTTTTTATCATATACATATTTTGTTTAGTTTGAAAATAGATTTTCAAATATTTTTAGGTGAAGTGTTAGATAATTTTTTTAGGTGAAGTGTTAGATGAAGTTTTATCATGTACTCTCTCCGTCTTATAAAAAATTATTTGATTTGATTTGGCACAGAGTTTAAGAGTATAAAGACTTTTGAATCTTGTGGTTCTAAATTAAAGTTAGGTCAAATATACAGAATTGTCCTTTGATCTTGTGGTCTTAAACATATCACGTGGAAGTTGAAATTAAAATGTTTCCTAAAAAAGAAAGAAGTTATTTTTTAAAACAAACTAAAATGGAAAGGAGGTCATTTTTTTAAACGGAGAGAGTATTTAAATTATAATTTTTGGATAAAATATTTCATTTTTAAAGAAATATAATTTATATTCATAAGTACTATAAAGTAATAAAAATATTTATAAATAATCACATTATCATTTATAACGTACATATTTGGTGAAAGTTATGATAGTGAATACAATTGATATGAATATGATAAAAAGGGAAGAAAATAAAAATATTATACCATTTATTTGTATACGAAAAAACTACTATTGCTCTTGTGATGGGTAGTGAATTTGGAGTGCAAGCTCAAACGAAAATCGTATAAAATATGTACAAAACTATATAACTTAAGCATAAAAGACTAGGACCGAAGTTCAAAACTATAAATGACGAGCGTTTTTATAAAATATAAAATTTAGGGTAACTTTTAACTTTTTATAAAAAAATCCAAAATAATAGAATTTATCCCAAATAATAGTTTTTTTTTCAAAATATATGGAAATTTAATTTTTTGTCAAAATTATTTATTAAATAATATGACAAGTTACAAAACCAAATAATATTTGCCAAGTTTTCAGTTTCAAAATTTGATTAATATCAAGCAAGTACTATTAGTTCTGATAGTCAATAACCTGATATAACCAAATAGTATTTGCATATGTTTATTTTTTTCAAAATATGCTAAGAAAATACTTCAAACCTTTAAGAACTAATAATCTGAAAATAAAAAAAATCAAAACCCGTGTGAAAACTGCAAAATCAATAGCTCATTATTAATAAACCAATATTTTTTTTTCCTAATTATCAATTTCGATTCGATTTGGAACCGTCAATATTCCCCTCACATCAACCGGAAGAAACGATGAAGCTAAAGTTGTTGTAATAGTAAATGGATTCTTGTTACTTTAATAAATGTCCCTCCACCTGGCCAGCCAGTTACTGCAGGTAAAATATCAATAATTAAACACTACTACATGCAGGAAAAATGCTCTCATTCCAAATGCAAAGAGTGAACAATGAATTCTCCATTGAACAATTGTTCAATGCAAATTTAGTGCACTATACCAAGACAAGAGGAAGCATAAACATCCTAGTCTAGCTAAATCTTTTATGCAAAAGAAAATTTCTCATTAGCCAATCGCCAAGACTTCGAAAAGGCCTTATTACTAAATAAATACCAACCAATGACCTTATTCTGTTTCTAAATGTTTCAACCATTAACTAAGTTACAAATGATTGGAGGTGAAAGAACAGACATCACCTATGTCACAATGTTACAAGAAGACTGAAACATAAACTAAGCAACAAAATCTGCTATAAATATCAACAGTTTAGCCAACCTTTCAGAACTTGAGCTCAAAATCTTCAAGCTGAGTATGGAATGTGTCAATCTTATGGCTTCAAAGAATATTTACCGGGCTCGGTATATGTTTTCTCCAACTGCTCTACCTTGTCGAATTTGAAGCCCCTGATTCTTATTTCTTCTGGTATTGAAGTATCCTTATAGTCGACATTTTCAATTGTCCAACCCTTGTTCTGCACGGAACCTCCCACTTTGACCTGTTAAAACACAAATAATTATCAGCATGTGTATCAAATATCAACCTAATATTTTCATCAGAAAATTTGAGTTCAGGGGTGGATCAATTACAATCATATAGGCATGATGTATCAATTAAGAGACGTCATTGGAGTTGATACACCCCTATATAGTCATCTGGATAACTAAATTGATCAAGGACTTGAGATATACCTCGGCACCATCAACAGCCTCTACAATGAGAGCCCCATCCAGGGAAAGATCCTCAAGGGCAATATTACTCCCCTTGATCGCCATTGTAGACCTTTGTGAAATAGAACAGTTTCCACTCACTTTACGTTTTACTTCTGAGAAAGTAAGCGCCCATTTCGGCTTCCATACAACTCGAGACCATACCTCTACCTCCTGCCCGTTAAATACTTGGATAACCGGATCATCTATCTTAACACCAGCCTGTAATAGAAAGAGATGTTTTGTAATTGATGCACAATATTAGATAGTCACAGGTTTGCCAACTGAACTCATATGAAACTGACACAGTGACTACTATGAAAGGAAAAATTAGTAAAGTGTTTCAAGAGTTGATAGTTTATCTTTCATATTATCACAATAGAAGTTACAGTATCAACACACTTGCCATCTTTTTTGCCAAGCCCAAGGAGGTCTGGAAGCAATAGATTGCAGGACAAATCTTTATCATGGGGCAAAACAAAATGATCTTATGGACACAAGTCATAAGTGTAATCTTGTGTTTGGGTTTGCTTGCCACTCATTCACAAATGTGACTAAATAAGTATTCTGATTTACTTTTTTCTAATCAGTAATGACTAGCAACTCTTCTCATAGTTTCTGCTGTCTTTTTTACTCTAGCGTCTTTACTGTTGGTTTACGTGTTTCTTAAAAAGTACAAGGACATAGTAAAAGCCAAAAAAGCTTCTTTCAGATTCCAGCAATCTCTTCCTTATACTGCCTCCTATAGAGGTTTGCACTATAATTGGTGCATAACGTATCAATAACCATAGTCAAGAAAGAAATACTCCAAAGAAGTTCAATTTTCATCTTGAAATCCCAGAAGGAAAGAAATACCTCTCTTAGAATGAGGCTGTGAGAGCGATATATGGCCATTTCTCCCGAAGTGGCACTGTGGTAAGGATTTCCTTTTGGCACCTTTTGTTGTAAGGGAAGACAATTGAAAAACAGTTAGAAATCGAACCACAAGAAATCACATCAATAGCAATAACAACCTACAGTTGTTTTTAGTACCAGAAAGACTTAAAAAATGTCAAGCCCATGAAATACAAGTCAAAAAATAGAGTTAAGAATGTCAGTAAGCAGTTTCAACTTTTAGTTGGTGAAAGAGGATTAGGACTCTGGCTAAAACAAAGGAGGAAAAAGTAAAGTGGAAGAAATATGCCATTGCATTTTTCACTTCTAGCGTAAGTTTTGGCGAAGGTTGCCCACTAATTTAAGCTTATGATTGCATATGCGAGAAAAAAATTCCACAATGTTATCTCAAAGACCAAAGAGAAATATTGCCTCCACAAACATACTTTGGTGGTGATCCTAATATCTACACAACTAAATTACAGCATCTGACAAGAATGCACAAGATCTAAACTCCGCAGAAGAGCTTGAAGCCGAAATCATTCGAGAAAACACATAATAACGACCTAAATAGGAATTTTTTGCTAACTACTTGATATAAAATTAACCGTCGAGTTCCAAGAAAGAAAAAGCCAGAAGCAACAATTCTTCATTCCAATGGCCTGTGTGGTGAAAAATTTCAGAATGCAGCCAAGGAAGGGCCCACATCAACCACTAGGGACAGATATATTTGTTATATATAGTCAGCATTAAATCATCAGATATTTCAGTGAGAAGCAAGAACTAGAAGTAGAGGATGACGGATTTTGTCAGGGCAATCAAAATGTTATGCCAGCCCCAATTTAAAGACATCTGCTATTTACTGAAACTATTTTACCTACATATGATAGCAGAATTATTTCAATGCAGAAAGCAGCTGATCATACCTTGGCAGCATCTTCTGGGTTGTTTTTCACGGGTGCATAAGCAAGCCAAGCATCCATCACCTGAGTCATTGTAAAAAGCAGTGTGATCCCCTCACTTGGATAACTTGACAGTAGATGACTCACAGCATATGTAACATAATCAAAAGCCAAAAGCAGTACTGATATCTTCTACTTACAGTGAATCCAACTCTAGCTGTGGGAGGTAGCGTTTTAGGATAATCTTGCATCATGCATTCAAGACGAGTTGAAGACTTAAAAGCAGTTTTGGTAGCATCTTTGTACCTACAAGGAGATGCAAAAATCTGTCAGAAAGAAGTTAAGCAGATTCTGAAATCACAAAGATAGTATTTTAAAAACACATATGCCCTGAATTGTTGAACTTACAAGAAACATGTACAAAATGACATCAGATTAACAAATAAATTATGATATTGGAGCTTCTAATCAATCGCTTTAATCGCAATCTGAACAGCTTCACCTCCCCCTTTTATATTTCTTTGTTGACAGTAGGTGTCCAACCAATTTGTGCGTACCTCAACTATTTCACCAGGTACCTGCTACTTCTCACCATCCCACCAACACAAGTATCAGGTAATTCTACTGCTAAGACTTAAGAAAGAAGGAAGATTTCACCTAGTTTTTATTATGGCTTTTGCATCTGCTTTGGATACCCAATCAATTCTCTAAGCACAGTCTTTTCGAGAGGATCATCCACCAGCTTGTTGTCCAAAAAAACAAAAAAAGAATGGCAATATGCAAGAATTTTCAGAATATGAGTTGGAACCATTTCTCTTTCTAAATCCTCACTGTCAAGTCAACCCACCAACCTTTGAGAACTACATGTCATCGATGTTATGTTCCAGTCTTATCAAAATGACAAATATCAACCTTCCCAGAAAATGGGATCCAGAAAAGTGCTGTGCAGAATATCCCTGTGAACAAACTGCAATACCAGTGTTCATCTAAGCAACATAAACCCACATGTAAGGCTGAAATACAAAAAAAAGTTTGCACACGCTGCTCCTTCATTAGCTTATGAAATGCTAGCTGAGGATATTCAACATATTCTAGTTCCACTTCTCAGTTGCAGCAATTGTTTTAGCTTTCAGTATTCATGATTAGTATTCAATGTCTCCTCTGAAGGATTAGGAGGCTTGATAGAAGTTCCTTTTTCCTCAGAACAGATGTACTTGTTGCATTCTGAAATCAATAGATCTCCTCCAGATCTTCAGAGGACAAACAACCAGCCGGCTTCTGAAAGTGAAGAATCATAACCGCTTCCAGAGAGCTTAGCTAGATTGACTTTACAAGAATCTGTTTGCTGTATGACATCCACCTTGGTACACTTGAACAACACACGGGAAGTCAACAGACCAAACAGTGAATAGGAAGACGAGAGCTGACCCTGAAACATCAAGGCACCATGATGTTTAAGCTAGGTACTACCACTAGAAGCCAAAGATCGATAATTAAAAAGGTGTAAACGCCATGACCAGTGTATCTTCTTTCAGCAAATTCAGTCTCCACCACCTCCCCTCACACTAGGAATTGTAACATCACAACACTCTAATTCTACTCTCTTGGACTTTGCCGTAGCTGTCTTCTCTTTCATATGATCGCAACAAACCCTTAAAATATTCGTTCTCAAAACAGAGGTTTAAATTAAACTGGGAACGCCATGAATGATATAATTCCTAGGTGATTAGATCATAATAAACTCCAATTTTCTATATATTGTAATGTCATACAAGTGACAGAACATATTGGATATAAAGCATCTGAAGTAGATCAGTATTTTTATTTATGACAGTGAAGTTCAGCTCATTTGCAACTTGTTTTCTCATTCCTACCAGCATATCAAATTCAGTGGTTTATTTACCTACATATTTATATCGTGGAAAAATTTCCTGGAGTTACAGCAAAGAGTCAATGCTCCATAAGAAGAAAGCCGCACATGTTTTTAAAGGAACAGGAAGTGACATGACACCACAACTTTGAACATATCTTAAATGTAGAGACATAAAGAGTAGATGTTTACTTAGGGTTAACAAACTCCGAGATCGCACCTCCTGTTCTTGTGAGCTCTTCAAGGTATGGGCCAATTTCAAAGATCAACTGCATTGCAAAGTAGATAGCAATAGATACCCAATACATTACTTTTCTACTGAAAGTAACAATAATAGGAAAATTATCCAAAAGAGGAACTTGGCAGCTACAACATAATTTGCATGACACGTAGTAAATTGTAGATACATGCTCAAAAATTATACCACAGTCATGAAGAAGGGGCACTTCACCTCTCTGTTTCTTATGAGATTCTCTGCCTAAATAACTATTTATAAAATATTTTTTCCAATTTACTAGTCCTCTTTCTTATTGCATTGCCATCTACAATTTTTCATGCGATCCCTTGCATATCATTCTAGTCTGGGAATAAAATGCACTTACTTATTAAAATTTACGTCCATAATATAATCTAGTAAAATAATGGAATGTTGTCCTTGGTTCTTTTACTGAAATCAGTCTGCATGTTAAATTCAAGTCTGCTAACGTTGCAAAGCAATAATAGACACATTAAGCTACTAGAAGGCAGAAGCTCAGTGTAGGTCAGAGAAGAGACTTTACCATCTTCTAGTATTAAAAAGTGTTTGTTAGAAATCTAAAAACCAACTTCATTGATTCTGGTGAATTTATATTTTGAACTAGAATGTAGAGGAGTCTCATCATCAAACATTGTTCGGAAGATTAATGACACAATCCTACATTGACGAATCAAGCCACTGCTAAGATCACAGTGAGATTTCAAACCAAGTATGGAGCTGATCTAAAAACAATATTTTATTACTTTTTTCCAAAAAGAAGTCTGCCTACTTATCTGGTTCGTAATGGAACCTTTCCCATTTTATTTTTCTCTGTTTCTTACGTACAGGAATACGGATCCCAACTTTTTCTAATCTTCTTGATTTACATAAATAAAATGCCTTAATATTCTTAAGGTTCAAAGGGAAAGGAAGTAGATCAAGCTGCCGATTTGTCAACTTAGAAGTTTTTAAGGAGTTTTTGTTACACAAAACTCAAAGAATAGAGGTTTCCATGATAGTTGTAACCACAGGGACATGCATTCTGGGACAAAATTTCCAAGAACTTGTGGTATGTCTTCACTATTATAAGAAAGAGGTAAAATAATACAGCAAATAACTTGAAGGCATTGCAGGGAAAAGAATGGCAAGAAAGAGAACAAAAAGACAGTTCAGCATGAAGACTAAGACGTACTTGATTTATATTTCCAGGAAAAGGTGAATAGCCTGTTTCAGAATTGACATCGCCATCAGGATATCCAGAAGCTCTAAGCAATGGATCAAGCTGGTTATATTCCACATTAATCACCATCGTTCGCCCTATAGAGGAATTTTTTTTGAGAAAGATAACAATATTATATACCTTAGAAAGGATTTTTCAATTGATATAATTGTCAGATAGAAGCACAAACACCACATGAACTTTCTCAAATGGTACTCCTACACTAACCGAAGCACAAAAGAACATTAGAACCTGAAACTAAGAGAATTATTCCTGGAGAATATCACAGATGAAACGGAAAAGACTCCAAATAAATGTTAACATACACATTAGAAGAGCTAGAATGTTACCCTTGTTAGAAAACATAATTTATGTGCTCAATGAGTTACTCTTGATAGGGCAGAAGTAGCCCAACTTATCCTGACTTGGCCATGCTACGGCATATATTTGCCATTGCTCAATTGAATTTACGACATAGAAGCAACTAATTGAATTTTTTTATACATTTTGATAATTCAGTAGATGAAAATCATTTCGAGACCCCCCACTTTGATATAGGATGATCTCAGGCCCATACCAGTTTATTCAATTAAACATAGCAGGAAGATTACATGAAAGTCCAAATCTCTGGAGAGTACAATAGGTCTGAATTGGCAAATCACAGTTTAATGGCTAAACATGACTTCAAGCTCCCAACAGCTCAGTATTTGTTCTTGATACAGCTGATGATGGATTGTAAAGAAACACAAAAAAGGTCAAACCTTTTACTGTATCTGTTTATTCTATTTAATTTTCATTTCAAAACCCTTTATCTAGTTTTACAACTCAACTTCAACCTGTCTAAATTGTTTCACTTCTTCGACAGATCAACTCCCAATTGGTTCTCCATGCCTACAGACAGATAAGCCTCAGAAGAAAAAGTTGAGTCAAAAGCTAAAGGTCATGGGGTCAATTATTGTAATTTAGTCCTTTCTATTTACAGATTACAGCATTTCAAATAATTATATTTAATTGTTCAACTGTTATCTTTCCTTAGTTGGTTTAGGGACTTCCTACTCCTGGATAACACTTTATTTCTAGCATTTATTCATCACATAATCCACATCTACAAATTTCAGAACACAAAATTGAAGTGAAGTAGCTCATCTAGATGCAGCCACTGCCAACTTTGAACCCGATCAGATCAACAATATGTTTGCTTTCATATTATGGTCAACAAGGAGCTATATCAGAATTTTAATCCAATAAGGCATAGGGATCACAAAAACACAGAGTTATCTTATATTATAATTGCAAATTCAGTGTGACAAGAATTTTCAGAAGAGAAAACTCAAGGCTTGAAATATTTATAAATTGACTCTAGTATTCAGAAAATATTTCTACTCAGGGGAGTTTGGGTTAGTTCAGCTAGGGAGAACACGACCCTTAGTGGCTTGACCTACTGTCAATCAATTGCTATATACCTGGCAAGTGGCCCACTTGCACCTATGTATGTATGTAAAAGGTGATATCAGCAACCAGGAATATTACTTTCAAAAGTTACGTAGTCCACAAATTTCTTAGGGCTATATTATCTTAAATAACTAGAAGTTCTCTCATGTTCACCTTCTTTTTTTTTGAAAAGGTCAAGTTCTATTCATAAGTACCAAGAAATTACAGAATAGTACAAATATTCTTACATCTATACCGCTCATCTTCACCTTATTAAATGCCTTTGAGAGATCCATAGTTTTTGAACAATCTCTAGAATCAATTTTTGCTCAATTATAGCACATCTATGATATTTATATGTTCTCCGCTTCTCCCACTTATGCCCTGTACAAATGGAGCATGAGGTACCGAAGTAAACAGGAATAAACATGCAGATCCTGATATTCCTCGTCTACAGTTATCTTCACAATACAATGCTTTTGGAAGTTTATGGATGATCAACTAAAACTAGCATAACCAACTTGTTGGACATTTTCAAGTATCCTAATATTTTTGCGACCTGGTAAGAGTTTTGGCTATAGATTTAGCTACTAACTTTTGCAAAGTTCAGTTTACGAAAGCAGGAAACTGCCCATGACACCCATTAAATTTAACACTTCCTGCAACTAAAATATAATTGTAATAAACAACTGAACAAAAAAGAAGCCCGTACTATGAGCCCTGCTTCCATTTCTTTTCAGCATTTTTTACTTCTTTTCTGACCTTTTCCCCGGGCCACTACAAGATGAAAAGGTAGAAAGAAGTAAACTACTTATCTACGCACCATCTTGATGAGTAAGCTTGGTAATGCCACCAATGGCTTCTTTTGCTTTCCGAGGAACAGCGAGAGAATTGACATGGTATTGTTTTGTTGTACTGACGCCTAGTGCTGCGGGAATTGCCTGGAAGACAATGAAATGTACAGATTGATAAAATTGGCCTAACATACATGAGCAGAATATGATACAAATGAAAAAAAACAAAAAGAAACAAAAAAGAAAAAGGCATCCATCCAACCTTGAAAAGTAGACCGTTGGTGTCCTGGAAAAAAAGGACCCATCTTAAGCCTGCATCATGCCTAGATTGCACAACATTTGGAGCATCAAATAACAGAAATACATTAACGCTCTTTCTCTTTTTAAGTGAAAGCACCTCTTAAAAAATCAATACAAACTGGATGCACTAGTGCTTTAGATACAGACTACATAAAAGGTTTAACATCAGTTTTTATTTCTGCAAAACGATGAGAAAAAAGCCTTGTAATATGAATTTCTTTCTTTCTTTTTTTTTTACTTTGAAGATGGATACGCTACAAGCTAGGGTTCATAAAGGTATCCATCTTTCTCTAACTGATTAACATTATGTAGGCTAAAAGGGGCTAGATCATTGGTTCATCCAAATAACATCAGAGGGGATGAGAATGACAAAAAAGAAAGAAAAAGATGGAACAAAATGGTCAAGAAGGAGTGAAAACATACCAAACTTTAAGAAGGCCACTTGAGTAAAGAAGTGAATGGACGTCACCATGGCCATGAGGTTTTGTCTGATAAAGCAGAGGCAAGGGTGAAAATCAAATAAATAGAAGCACTTTCAGCTAAAAAGATACTGACATCAATTGAATATAAGAATCTAGGAAAATTTTCTAGCATAGAACTATCCACCTGAATTCTATATTTATTACGGGGATCCAAAGCAAGGTGTGCTTCATTATCATCTAAACAAGCAACTTTTTCCTGCAAGAAAATCAAGAAATATGTAAGTCATGATACTATGAATTAATTCTTCAGCGAGATCAGTTGCTAACCTGCTTAAGCAGTTTCACTTGTGTGGGTTTCATTCCAAAATAAGAGTTTTTCTCTAAGAGCTCCAGAGTACGTAAATGTGTGTCATCTGACGTCATAATAGCCAGAGGAATCTCTGCTCGGCAGTCGCCTAATTACAAGGAAGCTTTTAGTTGCCAGGTACATCATTATTGCATTAAGGATATGTATCACACTTTTAGGTGTCTCGAAACATGATATTTTAGCAGGTACCTCTATGCATAAAGATATTCTTTTCAGCCAATCCTTTTAAGCTTGTACTATCTTTGCTAGGCCAAGGAAGACCATTCTTAACACGCTGTTTATCCATAACGAATGTTTTTTTTTTGCTTCTACTGCTGCTACTACTACAATACCTTAATCCCAAGCTAGTTTGGGTCGGCTCTATGAACCCTCACTATCCAACAACTTTGTACTTCGGATATAAGGTTTAAATTGTTCTTTTCATTTTCAAAAAGGTTTCTAAAGAATCAAAATCTTAGGCAACTCACAAATAGAAACACTGGCCAATTATTATTGGAAGCAGCATCAAAAATCTTAAGCTTGTGATTGGATCCCCTAGCTCAAAAATCCCTCCCAACCTACTTATTGAGCCCCTAACACAACAGTTGAGGGATACCTTACGGGGCTGGGGATTTCCACCTTTAACTTGTTGCTTTACTTGGCTAGCGGTTTAGTGAAAATTTGGGATAACACAAGAAGAAGTTTAATAGTAATCTTCATCCCGGATGGATAATTACAAAATATAGCATGCACTTCACCAACCTCCGGCAAGGCTGCAACTGGCTTCTTGCAAAGCAAGAATAGATTCGATATAATGTTGTAAGAAGCATGTCCCTGTAGTTGTTTCTCTAGGAAGGGCCACCTGCAAATAATTAGAATGAATTGTGAGAAGAACTCCATCTTATGCAGCCACAAATTCTTAGATTAGTAGTTACATGGTGAAATGGAAGACCACAACTATCAATCAAGTCGCAAAAGATTCTGCACATTTTGCCTAATAAAGACAAAATTAGAACAATTTCTAAACCAACCACATGAAAGCTTTACGTGCTCTACCTTTATCCCATTGTACCCAAGACGCTCTCCGAGGCCTCCAGCAACAAGCACAAATGCAGCCTTCCGTGCATCTTTGATGCCAGCCTCCTCAAATTGAACAAAATTATCGTCACCATATTTCAGAACCTCTCCAGATGGAACCTGCAGAAGTTTACATCCATCTTAGAATGCATCACTAATCTAGAGCAGAGCATCAATGTGTTCTACATTTTAAGTGCATGTAATATAAGTACTAATAAGGCGATCCATTATTTTCCAAATTTTCAAGGCAATCAGAGGAGTGAGCAAGAAAAATGTAATTAAAACCTGACCATATCGAGCATCAGCCATCATATTTCAGAAGAAACACAAGGGAATGTGTTGCTAGTTTATCCAGAACGCTAGAGATCAAAATGGTTTTTGATCAGTAGTCAAAGTTTTTTTTATAACAAGCTACCAAAAAGTATGCTGAGAGGAAATTTAAGTCCAAAAGACTTGATAATTTCAAATCACAAAGCTAAGATTGGCTACGCACTATCCACCCTCATTCATCCATTTAAAAACTGTGAACGTGGTTTTCTTTTGACTCAGAGTGGAAACTTCTGCTTCACAAAAATTGAGTTAGAGTTGGAACTTAAACAACGAATAGTTGGATAACAAGCCTTGTACAATTTTTATATAAAAAAAATGAAATGACATCATCTCAATTTCAGAAGTCCACAAAAAAGAATATTAAAGCAAAAAATTAGTTTGAAATAGAAAGTTCCAATTTTGAATTAGGAGAGATATATCACAATATCCTGAAATGGAAAAAGAATTAATTAGTTTGGGATTAAAAAGCATGACCTCATTAGTTTGACCTTCAACAAAGGGTTAAAGCACCTAAAAAAGCCAAAATCTGCTAAACTATGCATTTCAATTTGTTCATAGGACCAACAGGCACGGCAACCTAACCAAACTGAATGAGGTAGTTTTGGAATCTTCTACTAATGTAAAATTAACCACAACTATCACCAAAGTGAATGAGGTAGTTTTGGAATCTTCTACTAATGTAAAGTTAACCACAACTATCTGCTGCAGTTGTACCTAAGAAGTATGTAAGTGGTTTCATATTTTTCTCACTCCATCTACAGAATAAATTACTGTAGCATGAATAGTACAGGCGAAAAGTAGCAGCATGAACAGTATTCATGAGATTTGTGAAGGGTGACTTTTCTATTATAAGCAGCACCAGCACTAATTTCAAACAGACATAAAAACCAGACTGCAACTTTAAGACATTCACCCAATTCAATAACTTAGATAAAAACACAACTTGAGCTATGTGCTTCTTGATGAAAAAAGTTATAGTTGAAGTTGCTTCTTACGGAATGATAATTAGTGAAATAACTTTTGCTGAAGCAGTAACATAGGATTCAGTTACTTACCGAAGGTGTAAAACCATCATACGGGTTTTTTCCAGTCTTTGAATCAGCTAAAAGCTTCCTAGCAGTGTTAATGTATGCTGCCAACCCCCCAGGGTAACTTGAATTAAGTTTAGCAATCTGAAACAGACAATAACACCTCAGTTTTCATAAATATTAAATTGAACTAGAAGTGAATACAAGCATAGAAGACATGGAAACAAGCCCAACAGGAAATGATATCATTTCCGGAGTACAAGAGTGGCATGATAAACAGCTGTACAATATTCAACAAAGACAATAAAACTCCTTTTAGACTACTTTATCGCTTGAATAATTAATCAAGAATAAATACTTCTCATAAATTGCCACATAATCTATGAACTACAAACGACAAACAAGATCAAGTTTTTATTTGCTGAACTGCAAACCAAAACCTTATCATCTCGAAATGGCGAAATTCACCATGTAAGTTACCACGACTACCTAATAGGAGTTCAAAATTGTTTACGCTGTTAAAATTCAGTTGAAAATCCTATTTGGTCAGTGAATTATTTAACAGGAAAAAAAACACATAATTCAAAGCCTGTCTCCTGTTCTGACTTGACCAATTGCTCTCTGGGTGACATGCTATATTTCCATCTAAAAGGAACAGTGAGATCTCAATATTCCAATCCTGGCCTAGTCATAGACATCATAGTAAAATTCGTTCGGTCCCAGGAAGAGACCAATGATTATCCTAGGTGGAGAGTTGCCTAAGCACCATATTTTCAATACCAATTTGACATGTTGCCTGTAATCCGAAATCCACCAGTAATACTGACCACCAACATAGACTCTGTTTTGGGTTTATGGGTTCTTCATTATTAATATTCTCACTCAAACTACTGCGGAGGAAATCACTCCTCTTATCTTTGGGGATACATTACATATCCAACAACATGAAAGTAAAATTCCTGAACAGAGAAGTTTAATTAAGTGGGTCTGGTTAAAAATTAAAAGTCCATCATGGTATAGCCAGTTTAGCTAATTATTTAAAAAAGAAAACCTGATCAAAGAAAGCTCGCTTCTCATCATCATCAACTCCAGGTTCCGCCCAATGCTGAAACAAGTGAGTTTGCCCCATCTCTATCAACACTTTCGCCAATTCTACCTAAAAATTACACACACATCACTCCCATTCTCTCAATTCAATTCGTTTATTAGAACTATACAGACATTGTACAAACTTAAATCCAAAAACCTGTTGAGAGGAGAGATGAGATAGGTTTTTGTGTAAATTGGGAGGAATGGAAGCCGAATCGGCAGTAATGTTAAGCTTCGTCGATGTCATGTTGCCGTCGCCGATAACTTTTCTTAAAAGCCGACAGGAATGCAGACCTGGATCGTAAAAAGCAATAGAAGAATAATTGAGAATGATTTTGAATATACCGATCGAGAAGAGAAAGAGATCTGGGAGAAAAGGTTGACCGGGTAACCGGAACAAACGGTGAGAGTTCGGTTAGTTACCTCACCTGAGTGATATGGGGATTGGGTAAAGCAAAAGCAGCTACTTCTTCTTTTTTTCAACTTTTTCTATTTATAGGATAGGAAAAAAAAAGTGAAGCAAATCGCAAAAGAGTGGTTATGTTATAAAATTGTATTTGATTTGGTGCCTTAAAGTTAATTTTTATTTTCATTAATAATCCGTGAGAGAAGAGAGATCGATAAATTGAATGCTAGTTTTATTTGGTATACGAAATATCTGTCCTAGTTATCGTGGAAGTATTTGAAATTTTTCCAGCAAACTGGATCTTTTTAATTTTCATGAAATTAATCCTCCTTTAAACTCAACAATTACCATTCGTTTAGTATCCTGAACCTTAATTCGATTTCCTATACGAGAAAGGTGTATATGTTGATTTAGTGCATATTTTATGTATCACTGGACATAAGTTTACACATATCCAACATACAAAATATATATATAAATGATGTTTACATATTTTTTGGGGTACAATTTGTAATTTCAAAGGTAAGCATAAATATAAAAAAATTTATTATAAGTACCACAATTTACATGGGAATGACCATTGCTCTTCTATGAGACCTATTAATCTGTCTATACCAAACAACGGATGTCGTACGAAAAAAAAATGAACACAAAATTACAAAATACATATAAATAATTCCTACTATCGTAGTTGGAGGAGAAGTTGGGAAGAAGAGGTGGTGAAAAGGATATGTAATTTCCTTGGTATTATTGTAATTTTATGCATGTCATTCGTCTTGTTAATATTCATTACAGCAATAATATAGTTATAATTATAATAATAATAATAATCTGAATGTTGGTTCGTCTCGAAGATGTAGTGTTCTATGATCATTTTGACGTAATCTATTCTAAGTGATTCTGATATAGAAATCCCGTCCATCACAATTATGATTAATTATTGACATCATTCGTCCATCACTCACCTAGCGAAATTATGAAGAATTAATTAATCAAAAAAGAAAATATTTATTAGTAAAAGGCTTGTAATTTGAAAGGAATTACTAAAAACTAAATTATTCTAATAATATTTAACTTATTTACCTAAAATGATGGGAATATCGGCATGAGGCTTTGAAAAAGGAAAACCTGAGTAATGTGATGGACAACGAAAGTGCCATGAACAGTGGTAATGTTGGCTTTCATGCCCCATCTTTGGAATTGACATTTTTCTTCTCTAAAGAGTTAATACGAGTCAAATTTTTTGAGGAAAAAAGATGAAAGAAACCCAATCTTTTCAAGAAGTTAAATCTTCTAGAGTCAATTAAAATTTTTATAGTAAATTTAAAGAAAGAACAGTTATTTCATACATTTCACCAACAAATGAAGCGGAGAAATATATACTGAGGAGAAAAGGGAATAAAATTTATCTATTCATATGCACGAAACTTTAATTCTTTTCAATTTGGATAGAAGTCAAATAAACATGTTAACTAGATTGAATTTGGACAGGTTATTAAAAATTAGAGGATAATGCTCAAGTATCCCCTCAATCTATGTCCGAAATCTCAGAGACACACTTATACTATACTAAGGTTCTATTACCCCTGAACTTATTTTATTAATAATTTTTTACCCTTTTTAGCTTACGTGGCACTATTTTGTGGGCCCAACGATGGTTGACTTTTTTTTCGAACTAGTGCCACATAGGCTAAAAAGGGGTAGAAAATTACATATAAAATAAGTTCAGGGGTAATAGGACCTTAGTATAGTATAAGTGTGTCTCTGGAATTTCGGGCATAGATTGAGGAGGTACTTGGGTATTTTTCCAAAATTAGACGCAAAGACCACAAGCATAAAATTATTTTGAGCTGCATATAATACTTATAAGTTATAAACTTACAACTTACATTTTTTTAATATGATTTTACCAGTCTTTTTTTAAAAATAAAAAAATTATTTTGTTTATATCTATCTTTGTTTTTTGGTTTCATTGATCAAATATTTTTTTTATAGAAACAGAAAAATTTTCTTATTTAGATTAATTTGTTAGTTTCGCGTAGAAGATTAGTAATATTGGACAACACGTCAGCTATATAACTTTATAAAATTAATTGAGAGCAATAACTAAAAAAAAATAAAGGAAAAATAGTCTAATATACCCCTCAACTTTGTCATTTATAGTTGATATATCCCTTATTATGAAAGTGACTCATATATACCCCTATTTATAAACAAATGGCTTACATATATTCTTTTCTTCTAACGGAAATGAAAGAATAATAATTCTAATCTAATTTTTTATTATTTTTATCTAAAAACTATAATCCAATATGAGTAAAATTTTGATCCTTGTCAAACATATTTTTTGACTTTTTTTCGTTTCAATGAGTAATTTAGAACTATTATTTTGATAATCAAATTTATTTATGTTTCACTAACATTCTTGTAAAACTTATTATAGATGACCAAATTTTTTTCTTCGAATATAAAAATTAAATTACAAATATAAACCAAAAAAAATAGTTCAAATTTTTTTTTCTTTACACTAAGGAATGAAAGAAAAAAAATAAAATAAGAAGAAGAAACTCTAAGGCTTGCGGGTTGGGCCTAAGAGGCCGACGGGTCAAATGGGGTGAGCTAAAAAGTCTCGTTCGCAAATGGGCCAAAAATATTAAGCTTAACCTCACTTATTTCAAGAATTGGGTTGGGCTGATCTCGCGGGCCAAACCCATTTTGACGGCTCTAAAAACAAACAAGAATAGTTTGTCTATACATGATTTTAGCCCCAATCACCAAATAGTTGATCGGATTCACGGTTTATGCTAATGTTATACTTCAACACAATATGGAATTATAAACACAAACTCACTACAAATTTAACATGTATGCTTGCTCTCTAGAAACTAACAAGACTAGAAGAAAAAAGATAGTAAAAAAACACAAGCATGTACATACATGTACATGTACAACAAAATTTAGATGTCAATATAAGGCAATAAGCACCAGCAAGTTGTTTCAACAAAAACTGATAATTATCTCAAAAATTCCAATAAATTTGATGGTCACGAGAAAAACAGAAGCTATAACGAGCCAACCAACAGCAAAACCGAAGTTTTCATCCTTGTCAACATGACGAAACCAAGAACTTTTCCACCAACATTCTTTCTACTAGCCTCTTCAAGGTCCATGATACCAGCTGAGGTAGTTGAAGTCAATACGTGAACATCAAAACATAAAAATAGACAATATACAGAGTTTACTCTGACTAACAACTAAAAGTGTTATACTACATCCGTGATTGCAGTAAATATCTGCAATTTCATTTGCTTAGTATCAAGTATCAAATACATATCAATCCACAAAGAAACACAAGTATCAAATACATATCAATCCACAAAGAAACACACTTCTCATGGACAGCACAGATTCCATAGGATACAAAATCATGCTTTCTTTACAGGAGAGCCTCAACTGCTAGCATCTACAAAGATGATTGCCCCGAGTACTCAAGATTTTTACTGCTGAAGAAGAAGCAATAATTTTCAAATATCATTTTTTCCCTTTGAAACAAAACTAGTTTTTGCAAATTTCACAATGAAACATTGGTAAACGCCCATAATAGCAAGCCAATTCATGATTCGGCAAAGAAGGAATCAAAAATTAATATTTCACAAGCTAATATGACTATGACTTGACATTCACCCCAACAATCATTTCGGCTCAATTTGGAGATAACCAGAAAGTGATCAAGGGAACAAAGTGAATTACTATACTGGTCGGGAAGGGAGCAATCTAGCAGTCCATCTTTCAATCTCCTTGACTCCAACATTGAAGCGAGGACTAATGACACCACACTTGTTTAGCCTTCCATTCAGTTCGACAACAATCTTCCCGTAACTATGATCATCGACATACTCAAATTCTCTGATGTAACCTACAGATAGATACCAACAGTAAGAAAATGATGGTGTGATGCTAGCAGTTCATACAGTTAAGATCAAACTAAATTGATGAAGAATTGAAGGCGAAGATATTAATTTCTAATACATTAAACAACTTTTACGTACCATTGTTCGAGCAAGGGTAGAAGTCACCACGCTGTTCTTTCTCTCAGCATTGGATTTGATTTGGAGTCTCGTCACACTTCCCTTGTTCGTCAGAAGACAGCAACAGAAAGATTAATCCAGCAGGCCATACAAGACATAACACACTGAAAGTCCAGTGAAGGTGTAAGATTTTAAGTGGCTCCGAGAAGTTGAGGAACAATTACCTGGTGAATGGGCAATGAAGGAACAAAAAAATCTTTGTTTCCGTATTTCTTGAAATTTTACCATTATTACAAGAGAAAGTGTTTTCTCTATTCCTAAGCTCAAACTGAAAAAATTCTCTTATTTAGGATGCAAAAATCACATTACTTGTTAGCTAATTATTAAGTGAAGAGCTTGAATTGAAATAAATATGTTTCCACTAACAGGCACATCAAGAACTGAATCACCCAAAATAAATTGCAACTGCAATTGCAAGAACTAATATAATTAGCTTCTTAGTTTTATATATCAATACAATACAAACCGTTGATGCATCTTAGCAAAAACCAGCACCCCCAAATACAAAATTATAATCCCAGTAATCATCATGAGCATTATGTTGACTTCCTTCATGGTAACATCTAGATTGATGCGTTTGAACCAACGATTCATCGGGTTGAACATCTTGATCATTGCCCACTCCATACATGACTTGACGCATATGACAAGTGGTGTGTGGATTGCCATCCTCAAAATTACCATTTCCCATGGGGGGACTAAATTGTTGACCCGCTGGTGTAAACGCCTGTCCTCCATATCGCACTACCTGCGATCCATTTCTTAATTCATTGAAAAGGGTCTCCGGCCAAAAACCAATGCTAAACAAACCCTGAAACAAAAGATAATAGTCTGCAAAAATAAATAACACCAGAGTTACAACAACAACATACTTGTTATTAAAAAATCATATTAATTACAACTTACTTACCTTCGTCCTTGTATATCTGAATTTCCAATTCATAGTCATCATACATTGGCCGAGAGATTTTTGGGAATGCATAATCTATGGGTACATCAGTGTCAAGTTGAACAAATCCTGGACAAATATTATTGTAACATCCTGTTTTTTGGCCGCCATCCGTCTATTTAATTAAAAAAAATGAAACTAAACTTATTTTAAGTGATTTTGAATTATTTTTTTAGAAAAAAAAACAATTAATTTCTAATACACTTACTGTCCAATGAGAGTATAGCCGAGTCCGGCTATCACCGTATAGTTGTGGATGTACCTAAATCAAACATACATCATGACTTTAGGAAATCGAATCATCAAAAAAAGTACTTTATAGGTTTAAATCATTGATTTTTTTAAAAAAACTTACAATCCATCCGGCTTGTATTTGCTCGAAATTTGGGGCATTATCTGCACTTTGATGAAATATTGCTGCGGAACTATATTGGCCAGCTCCATTTACATAAAAATTATACAAAGTAATAGTGGCTGTGGCACTTGTAAAACTTTTTATTTCTGGAGATGCATTCATACTAATTCCTGCAAACTATTACATTAAATTTAACCATTTGAAATTGGACTATTAATGAAAAATTTTAATAATAATTGAAGAAGCAGTTACATCGATGATGTCTTCAGCAAGGGATATACTTAAGGTGGCATCTTTGGCATTTTGGAGTTGTTCTTCTGTCAATCGTCGAATAGGAACCGTTCCAATCGGACAACCTTTTTTATTCAACCAAAACTCTTCTGCCTTAAAATAAATATTTTTAGCTTTTTGCAATCGCTCGCCTTTGATTAACCTTTGTTTTTCTAGCTCCTTAGCAATTGTCATCTGTTGTTTTGAAAATCCCCATACGTGCAAAAAAAAATGAATTTCAAAGAAAATACAAGTAAAATTATATTCAAATAAACAAAAAATATTACTATTTGTTTCAAAAAGTTACACTACATATACTAACATTAATTTTATACTTAATTATATATTAAATCTTCAACATTCTTAACAAGATTCATGACTTCACTATTTGATTGGATTTTTATATAAAATCGCTAAAGGATAGTTTGTTAAGAATCTGATTTTTATTATGAATTTAACTATATCTTATAGAGAAATAAATTGGGGCTAACTCAACCCTATCATGATAACTAGCGTGGATCTATAAATTAAACTTCTAACAAAAATCAATAACATTTTGGGAAAACATCTTATGTGAATTACTAGTATTATATTTTTCTTTTCAAATTGTCCCAAAAATGTATAAATTGTTTATATCAAAATTCAGAAATTCATAAGTTTCAAAACTTGATTCCACCTGAGATAAAAAATACAAAACATTGCAAACAATAGAATTGAGTATTATCAGCTTTTGTTTGTCAAAAGAAAAGAAGAAGAAAAATCAATCAAGTTGTATGAGTATAAATCTTGCACCTTGATTCTTTCTTTGTGCGGCATTGGATGCAAAAGAGTTGGTTGTTTATAAACATCCACACAATCATAAATATCTCCGTGAATAGTCTGCAAACATAAATCAATTTCACTATAAATTATTCATTAAAATAAAACGACATATAAACTTTGTCATAAAAGATATGAAATTTATACCTCAAGAACGAGATCTGCATTTCTACTAGATCCATAACCTTCAACCAAACAAAAGGCAATGGTGGTCCAAACTAAAATAATGAAGCATAGAGTTATATATATCAATGTCATCTTTGTTTTTTATTATATTTCTGAATAACTTTTATACATATATATAGTGCAAAAGAAATAGTTATTTAGCCAAACATGGTATGCAATATGATTGTCTAAATCTAAGATTTAAATGATGAAAAATATTCAAATATAATTCAATAATATTAATTCCAAATTTATCCATTGCACAAATATTCTCCAAATTAATTAGTATCTATTAATAGTGGACTATAAAAGTATGCTATCAATTTATTTTTAGAAAAATTATAGATTATTTTTATATTTTATTAAATATTTGAATTATATAATAACAAAAGAATTATAATTAGGATTCCAGTTTTAAAAGATTTGATTTAAATGCCTTTAACATTCAAATATAATGTATAAAATTATTACCGGATTTAGTCGTTGTACAAATATTCTATCTCTGTGATAACAAAATTATCATAATGTTCTAATTTGTAACTGCCAGACTTACCTTATTTTATTTTCTACCTCATTAATTAGAGCTCGACACAATTTTTATAGCTTATTGTATGTATCAATTATTAAACAAAATTTAAGTATGATATACATTATTGATTTATCTTTCATTACATTTAGAAAGTGTGTAAGTTGTCCTTCATAAATATCTATCAAAATGTATATATATATAATTCATAGTCAGTTGTCCAGTATTATAATTCATTGTGCAGAATTTAAGCATGACATATAATGACAAATTAATAAAATAAATTAAATGTTATAATCACATTTTGATTTAATTGTACCTTATAACAAATTGTTTATTAGTCACCTCTCTCCCTCAAACTCTCACTCGTCACTCTACCTTTCTCTCTCCATCTCTCTCTCTCACATACACACTTTTATACAAATACAAATATATAAAATGCGTTTGTGTTTGTATAAAGCGAGAAAAATTGTATATACATATATATTCGTTCCCCTCTCTCCCCTCTCCCAAATCTTGCTCGTTACCCTCGCTTCTATCGCTTATACAAACAGAAACAAAATGTATATTGCATTTCTGTTAGTATAAAGCGAGACAAAATTGTATAATTATACACCTGAAAATACATATATCTTCATCTTATACACTTATAATAATACAATACAAATATTTCTCTGCCCAATTTTATTTTGTCTTTCTCTCTTTCTCGTTTTATACGTACACAAAACAGTACAATTAATTTGTATACAACTGTTTTCTTTTGTATATGTATAATGAATTATACAATTGGTTTCTTTGTATATGTATAGCGAATTATACATATTTATGTTTGCTATGGAACACAATTATGCAAACTTTGTTATAGCATACAAATATAAATTTTATGTTTGCTATATGTAAAAGTTGTTGTATTAGAAAATGTGCCTTTATAATACTTGTATATTTGAGCTGGGGTGTTCACGCCTTCACAATTTGAATAAAAATTGATTGAAATAAAAAATATCGAATCAGACAAATTAAATAAATCGACTATAATAAATTTGGTTTGGTCTTAGATTTTAAAAAATAATAAATATTTGATTTGATTTTAATTTATTCAAAAAATTCAAGAAATAATCAGACCAAACTGAACCAATATAATTCTATACATAAATATGTCATTATTATACATAGCTGATATATTATTTTGCCCTTACTTTTATACAAAAATTTTAGGCTTAGGTCATAGACGGCCCCTTAAAGTTGTCCATATATTTCACTTAAACACTTTAATTAGGACTTATACCTATTGAACACCTGGACTGTTTTGAATTTGAACCATTTAAACACGTTGTGTACATGTGGCAAAAAAGTGAGATTCACGCCTTAATAAGCGCGTGAATCATTTAATCAGACAATTTTTTTTCAAATCCTCCTTTTCAAAATTGCACCACCTCTGCTCCTATTTCTTCATAACAATCCAACATTAACATAAGAATTCCAAGACAATAATAAATCCAAACATCACTTTATTCCTTACATTTCAAGCCTTAATATGTTTGTTTTATCATATTTCTTCTTGTCATTGTTTTAATTTTTCAGATTTAAAATTATATCTTGACATCTTTTTTGCCGGAAAAAATGGATACCACCATCCATATTTTTTTGCTGGGAAAAACGAAGACTATCATCCACATCTCCTTACTAGAAAAAATGGTGACGCATACAAAACCCCTTCTTCTTCCACAACAAAGTAGAAACAAAATTAATTATAACGTATTTTTTGTAAAAAATAACAATATCAATTCCAAATAGGAACAAAAAGACGGGATAAAGAGAAACAAAAATAAAAAATTCTTAGTTAGTATATGTTAAAATCTTCACTTTTTTTAGATGAACAACAACAATGGTGGAAAGGTTTATCTTTAAGGGAAAGAGAAGAAGGGGAGGTTTGGGGTGTGTGGGGTGGGTGAGGTGGATTTTTTTTTTCCTGGTTGAAACTCTTTTTTTTTTTTAGATTTAGATTTTTTGGTATTTTAATTTCATTTATTTAAGATAATTAAATTAAAATGCCACATGTCGTAATTTAATTTGTTATTTTGCCATATCAACTGCGTGTGTGTTGCACGCACTTTATTTTTTAATTAGGTGTCAGAAAAATGTTTGATAAGTATTTATTTTGTAAGGTTGAAGTGTCTAATAGGAAAATGGACATGTTAAGGTGTTTAAGTGAAATATCGGTAGATGACTTAAACCAAAAATTCAAATATCATATACATCAATATTAATTTATGAAAGCAAAAACGACTGAGACGAACGGGTTCAAATATATAAGTAAATTTCACTTGGAATGAAGTCAAATTCCGGATTTCTCGCAAAAACCCCATTTTCAAACCTTTGGTAATCGATTGTTAAGTGATTTCTAGGTTTTAAGTAGAGACTTTAGAAGTTCTTCTCAAAAGAGAAAAATGGTGATTTCAAGCTCATTTCTATGGGGTTTTAAACCACAGTTTCCTTTTGGCTTGTGGAAAGTGTATTTCAATTAAAAATCTGATTTTGCCCTTCACTTTATAAAGTGATTTTTTGGACTATTTACCCTCCAACTTCAAAACCCTTCACTATGATAAACTCTTTCCATTCTTGATAGTTGAGGATGTTCCGGTTAGCGTGTGGTTGAGGATTTCCTCTGCTAGAGTCGTTTGGGTGAAGTTTCGGCCTTGAGGTAGGTTTGGCTATACCACTTTTTAGACCGAGTTGAGTTATTAACTTGTTCTTAGGAAGTTAACTATGAAATGAGTAGTAAGTCATATGTGCCTTAGAAGTGGGTGAGTGTTTATAACCCTGTTTTAATTCGATTGATGCCTTATTGTAACGTCAGCCTGCGTGGAGGCTTATGTGATACTGTTAACTATTGTGGAAAGTCTTGTGATTCTTGAGAAAATTCAAGCTGACTTATGAACATTAAAATGAAAGAAATGATTTCTAGTGGTAAAGAGTGATTTCAAATGGATTTCTCCTTTGAGAATACCTGTCATGACTTTTTGAGTTTGGGAATTCGATGCCATTTGTCATAAGCCTCTGAACATGTTCAGATTTTTGGAGAGTCCATGCAGCGTTCAGTTTTTTGAAAGGAATATTGTTTAATTTTATTAAAGATGGTATTACTTAGTAAGTTGAGGTTCATTATGTAATTAGTAGAAATTAGAGGAGTAGTTAGCAAATAGGTAGTTAAAGTAGTTACAAAAATATTCTTTCTCTTTCTTGTATAAATACTAACTAAACATGTTAGTTACAAGTAGAAAAGTTTTAACAAGTTGTATAATACAGAGATGAGTTTTCTTCTTCTTCTTCTTCTAAACTTCATCTGAGAATCTGCACATTGCAAATTACTCACTCTTCAAAGTTTTCATGGTATCAAAGCCTTTGAGGCAGTAAACGATTGTTCAAATCACTGCGTATCATCTACATAAGCAACAGACGAATCCATGGCAACAATTGATAACGAGCTGCCGGAAAAACTAAGCCATAATCACCCTCTGTTCTTGAACACCATTGACAATTCTGGTGTATTGCTCAGTTCAATTCAATTGACTGGAGCTGATAACTACTCAGTATGGAGTCGAGCATTAAAGATTGCAATTATAGGTCGAAATAAGTTGGGATTTATCGATGGTTCATGTAAAAAGGAAGCATATGGTCCAAATCTGGTAAACCTGTGGGAAAGATGCAATGCGATTGTATTATCTTGGATCATGAATTGTGTTTCAAAAGAGTTACTTGGAGGTATTGTTTACTCTACAAATGCTGCATCTGTATGGAAAGATCTGGCCGAATGATATGATAAAGTTGATGGATCTCGTATCTTCCAACTACACAAAGAAATTGCTACTGTGAGTCAAGGTACTAGTTCAATTTCAACATATTTCTCTAGATTACGTGAACTATGGGTAGAATATGATAGTCTAACTCCTGTTCCAAGTTGTGAGTGTGTAAATTCAAGGGAATTTGTGAAATATTTGTCCACAATCAGAAGTTACTTCAGTTTCTTATGGGGTTGAATGACTCATATGAACAAGCTAGAGGACATATATTGATGATGATACCTCTACCTTCATTGAACAAAACATATTCAATCTTAATTGAAAGAGAAAGCCAGAGAACCATGTCACAAGTCTCTAGTAGTGCTAATTGTTCTGAACTAAATGCCATGTTCACTTCTGGAAACAATACTAATGCTATGGTGCCTAGATCAAGACCCTACAACAATTCTAGCTATG